GCGCTCGATGCCTGCTTCGTCCACGTTGCTCCGGGCGTGTGAGATAACTTGAGCGACGCGGTTCGTCAGTTGAGAGTGGCGAGCCATGAAACGCTGGTACCATCCTTCAGACAAGGTTGCGTGGGGGACAAGGCGGCGGTACACTTGAGTTGCTTTGACCATGATGGTATGACGGTCAACCGGATGTCCTTCGTGCTGCATGCCACACACCCAAGCAACAATGTCATCCTCGCAGCTTTTAGGGAGCGCTGTCGGAGGTCCCCGTCTCTTGGCTTGAGTGATGATTCCTGATTTTTCCCGTAGAACCGCTTTCATCAACGTTGCGTATGGGATGCGTGATTGCTTTGACACCGTCCTGCCATTTTCACCATCAACAACGTGTTGAACGGCTTGTTGCAGCTCCTCCAAGGAGTATCGGCCGCGACGAAGTGGTCCTGGCATGGAAAGGCGGCAAAATGTTTTTCAAGTGCGCTAAGTGTATAAATTTGCACGGGTTATGCCGCGAAAAATTTACGACTTTTGATTGGTTCTTGCACATACGTCTTAAATTGATTGAATCTCTTAAATTGATTGTTTACGTCGACATTAACTGCCCTATGATTGGCCCATAAAATATTTCCATTGATTTCATTGGTTTAGAAATTTCTCAGATTGATGAGATCATATGTGCCCTTCAGGCCCCTTATTTTTCTTTAAATAGGTTTTTGTTGTTCCAGATTTTCATTATATTGGCTTTAACAGTAAACAAAGTCAATTATTATAGGCAAGAGCAGTTTTTTACAAATATGAACAATACGATTTTGGGGTCACTTTGAAGTCAAATGTCGACAATAAAATGGAACAGAGTACTCCGGAGTATTATTGATCCACATTTTTTGGATTGCGAATTTTTTTGTCCGGATACTGTGCGTCTCATTGTTTCGGTGGAACTATGTCGACGAGAAAAACGATGGAGCCAGTAAATGCAATAGCACGGTCAAGTTGGACGAAGCGGAACTTTACTGCTTATTTCAAAACTTCTACTTCGAAGTACGTAGTAATAAACTGAGTGCCTGTATACTGTAAATAGTCCGATCGGTTGCTGCACGCGTTGCTGGTGTTGCTTGTGATACCGGGAGAAATTTCCTTTGGTAAACTGGGAAATACGTATATGGTCGGTCCATATGTTTGTTTAATTTCTTCGCAGTGCAAGCGATCCTGAGGGAGGATGAAAATATCAAGTCATTTGACGCGTTGTTGTAATATTAGCGTTATTGTTTTCGGCGTGCCATATACTTCGAAGTAGTATCGGTAGCCCAAATGCGAAACCACAATGTGTGGCCAAATTAAACATTTCCTACGTGATTGTTGCTTGTTCATTAATGAATTGGTCCATCCATACCTCTCACCATAATTTCAAATGGCACAGTCCGCAAAAGTCCCATCCATTCAGCAACACTCGTTGCCCCTCCACTTCGCCCCACGTTGTGGACAAATATGCATCCATTCGATGAGGAATGATTGGTCGTTGTAACCGACAGTTTCGGTTTCACCATTGGCGCCCCAAAATACCCCCTAACCAAAAACGGCCGACCCAACGCCCCGCTAGTTAGTCCGTCCGGCGCCGGCTTTCCAGACAATCACATGAGCATGGACGATCCGCTGGGGTACGTCGTCGAGAAAATGGTGCAAAAGTCCATCGAAGACCTGTTCAACTCGCCCGAGTTTCTCGAAGAACTGCGTCTGGCGTCAATGCCAGGCGCGTTGTCCGCGCAGTCGTCCGCCACCCTTCGCGACTACTTCAGCGCCGACTCATCCGGTACTGTCGCGTCCCCATTGTAATGCTAACGTAGTTCGTGTTCTAGTTGGCGGGATGGTGCACTTGCTATTCGAAGACCCCAAGGTCTTATTCACGTACCGCAACACCCCGACGTACGCCGAGTGTGCGCGGCTGTACCATTTGCAAAACCTCATGACGAGTTCCAACTTCGCGCAGAGCATTTTGGACACGTTTTTGGCGGTCGAGACGACGTCGGCGCGCACACAATTGCTGACAAACTTGCAGCGATTTGAACCTGTAGATGCCATGAACGCCGAAGCCATCTCCCGAGTGTGCACAGCCCTCTTTGACAAGACGACCGTCGCGCTCTTCTTTTCCCTCTACGACGACAGCCACGTCGCCTTTTTTCAAGGTACTCCACCCCCCCCTATACACTCCCACGGCAGTATATATAATCCCCCCAACCAATCCCCCATGCATCCCCCCTCATCTTCTTACATATTGCCCAGGCATTTTGTTTCAAATCGGACGCGAATGCATGAAAGAACTCACGCTGCGGTTCTGCGACGACCTGTTCTGCGACAGCCCCGACCAACAGGCGCAGTGGGACGTGGTGCCGTACCAAATCCTCGCCCAAGTGTTTCCGTGTACTTCCATGCCGAGCCTGGTCCCGAAACTGCCACCTGGCCTGGACTTGGCCGCCACGTCCCTCGACTACAAGTTCCCCCTCATGCTGTACACGTGCGACTTTGTGACAGACCTGATCCAGGAGAATCGGCCGGACACCGTCGGGCGGTTCATCGTGACCCAGCTCACGACCAACCCCGTGCTGGCGGCGGCGCTCGTCGACGGCGTCCTCACCGACCTGCAGACCCTGCCCACGCCGCTCTCGTGTGAGTCGTACGGGATGAAGATCCTCAACTCGATGCTGCAGCTACACCACTGCGGCTGCATCAGTCGCCATCAAGAGGACAGTCAAACTGCAAGGGAAGTCGACTGCCAGGGAACGCTGAATGCGCTCTGGACGGCGTTTGTCTCTAGATTACCGTCGTTTCTAGACGTGCTACACATTCCCCCCCACCAAACGTTTAGCCTCAAGCATGTGCAGGTACACTCTTCTTCATAGTACACGACGATATGCAAACTACACGACTTGCACTCTCCAACATGCGAAGTACTGTCTGGATTGACAGTGTGTCTTCTTGACGGCATCGTAGCCATCACGAGGCACTGTGTATTGGCTTGACGAATATTTGTTGGTTTTTGTGCATGGATTGAACCTGCGATTGGTTGCTGACGTAGTTGCTCTACTTGTTGTACCCCGTGCTCCGCGTGAGTTGCATTGCCGTGGACGAGTTGCTCATGCAAGATCGCACGTTTGAGACATTACTTGCCCTGGTCGAACGATATCCCAACGCGAATATCCTACATACGGCCATCTGCCGCCTCTTCATCACGTGCCTCGAGGACTGCCCCGTGATGTTTGGCCAAGAACTGCAGACCCGGCGGACGATCTGGGACCCCCTGCGCAACTCCCTTCTTCGCGACGCCATCTTCCAAACCGTCATCAAGGGCTGTCATTCGCGCTACGTGACTTGCTTCAAGGACATCGCCATGTCGTTCGATGAGCTCATGATGCAGACGCCGCCCGTGGCCGCCGACATCGCCGCCATGTGGCACGAATTCGCCACGACTGACCTCGAAGATATACGCGCCGAGTGGGCCATCAACCTCCCCGCCCCCAACGGTACAGTCAGTAGGACCCCCCCCCCCCAGAGTCACGTCGTGTTGTTCCTTGGTGGCATGCAGATCATCACAACAGGACTCACGATGAGGTTGTTGTTTTGGTCGTGTCGTAGGCAACGGGGTGGAGAACCATCTCATCCAATTGAGCAAGCAAGCGCTGAATGGCAGCACGAGTGACCTCATGATCGACGAAAACGTTTGCGACGACGACGAACACGACCCGTATCCCACCGCCGCGGCGCTTGTCATGGACGTCCCCGGTCGCAAAATGTCCTTGCCAACGTCGCCTCACTCGGACGCAAGGAAGCTGGCCGAAGTGGGCAGCGCCACTACGACCACCACCACGTTGTCACAGCTCAAAACTCGTGACAACATGGACGACAATGTAGTGGGGGGTCGCAATGATGACGGCGACTCGTCGCGCCTTGACACAATCGCGCCCGCGTCGTCCCCGAAGAAGGACCTGCTCTCCCCCCTGCACGCCCTCTACGATTCCGAGGAGAACGACCTCATCCGTCAGTTTTCCAAAGCCAACGCCGAGCCCGTCGTGCGGTAGTCCAGTGGTCATCGATACGAAGTTGTCCCCGACTTTGTCGACTTATTTGTAACTTAACCCATTGTGGCACCACGCTTATCGCTATCGTATGTAGTCCTGGCATCGATAATTACTGTACTACTAGTACCACCGACAGTAGTACTTCGGTACCCCTCGTTTCACGGGTCGCTCAGCCAATGATGCAATTGAATCGACCAACTACCAAAACACGTCATACATCCAAAGCAGTACGTACTTCAAGCCGTTGTTCCTGGGACCTTGAAGTTAGTACTCCGGAGTATTAATGATGTCTCCATTTATATTGGACAATCAGTTTGATTTGTCGTTGAAATCGAACGTAATATTCTCAACGTCGACACGCCAATCACAGTTTAGAATGTAAAACGTAAGTATTTACACGTCGTCGCATCTACTAGACCAACCCAAACCAATTCTGTTGCGACATACTATAGTATCCTCATACTCCCACTAGTACTACTAAGCTCAGCTACTCAGCCGTCTCAGTTGGTATGATCTCAGGGTCTACGTGTGCCAACGCTGCCACGAGGTCCGTCAATCGATGGAATTGGATCGACCGACCACCCCCGCCCGACGTGGTCCCTTGTTTGTCTCGTCCACTCTTAGAACCGTCTCCTCCCTCTTCTTCGCCCTCTTCTTCATCTTCGGCAGCTAACGACACTACCTGGTCAACCACCAGCTGGCGCACCGTGCCCACAGTGTACCCATACGCATGCAGTTTGTCCGATACATGCGTCCGCAATGACGGCAGCACTTGGACCAAGTGACACGTGATAAACGCGAGTTGCTGCAACGGATACAAGCCCACCTCGAGCTGGTGCAGCCGGTAGCCTTCGACCGCTTCTTCGTACTCGCGTGGGTCATATTCATCGCCGCCTTTCTTTTCCGGTTTCGGCAGCGCATGCACGCGTCCATAGTACGCCAGCAACAAATCGACCAATCGATCCGTCTTTTCAAAGTGCATTTCCAAAAACTTGGCATGGAGACGGTCCAGCACGGCGTCCCGCGAGGACTCGACGGGTAGCCACAGACATAACGTGGCTAAGATGGACACAATGTGCTCGTTTTGGGTACCTTCCTCGCGCTTCTTTCGCTTGAGTTTGCCCATAAAGGCTGGAAATAGCTGCTTCAGACCGCCTACAATGTACAACTCATATAAATATATAAAGCACATTATTGATAGGGATGGATTGCTTTTACTACATGTGAGTGTGCCACGTCGTCATACAACACATGAGTTACAATACAAACCGGCACTAAACATGTTCACGACGTCCACCTCTAGACACACTTTACAAATAACAATTAAATCTTTCAAAAAACAAGAATATGTAAAAAATATAAAGAATATAGAAATAATATAATCATATATCAAGAATAATATATGTACCAGCCACACATATTGCTCACATCACCATATCTACGACATGCCGTCTCGAAGCCAATCAACCCCATAGACGACAACACATGACATTGTCAACGCCATAATATGCAGCTCACTTTCCAACCCAGTCTTTTCTTCGTTGCATGCATACAATATATATATTTATTTATATATTATCCATCACGTCGTCGTCGTATAAATTTATTAAAAAATTATTCTAAATAATAATAATAAAATAAATAAAATAATAAATTGATTCACAATATCAATATTTTAGAAAATTTATAATTCCTGATACATTATTTTCCACAACGACATATATATATATATATATCCATACCAATTTGAATGAACCGTTCGCAGTTGCGGGTGTGGTTCATAAGTGCGTGATCTGTCACGCGCAGGGCGGATGTGGTGCAGAATTTGTTTTCCTTTACACATCGCAGCATGAGCTCAAAGCCCTCGAGGCTTCGGAAGCGGTCTTGGACAGCTGGGACGCGCAGCGCGCTGCATAATGCGTTGAAGACATTCTCGACGAGCTCTTCTTCTTCTACCGACGCCGGATCCTTCTTTCTGTACGCGGCCAGCACTTGCAGCATGAGGTCGAGGCGGTCCTCGGTGCCCGGCGACGCCACCAGCGCCATGCATGTAGCGTCGTCGGCGCTCTGTAGCACGATCGACAGGATTTCGCTGCAGTAGAGTCGGTTTTCGGTCATGTCGGCGGCTTTGTGGATTTGGCGGAGGAGGACGTTGAGCATGGGCGTGGACGTGGCCATGGCCTTGCAGCAGTCGGGAAGTAGCTCGGCGAGGTTTTCGACAATGTGCAGCGTGTTGTAGATGGCGGCGACGCGGGATGGATCGTCTTCGTGTTCGTTGATGGGGTTCGCAGCAGAGGTCAATGTCACGAGGGTGTCGCAGAGAAGCGGCAGTCCGTTCAAGTCGACGATGCCTCGGACTAGGGTTTGGGCGATCTCCATCTCCCCGCCGTCGTCGACATCGGTCACGTCTGCCAGCAACGCGATCAAGTCCATGCGAATATCCATGTTCTCGTGTGTGAGCAGCTGGACAAACAACGGAATCGCCTGCGATTGAATGAGCACGTGGAAGAGTGCCGGGATCGTCGCCACGTCCTTGATCCGTGTGATCTCCTCGTGTAATGCGATCTCAGAGTCCTATCGTGCCATGGGAACGTCATGAGGATGATACGACGTGGAGGAATCGTACCATAAACTTGGACGGGTCGGTGGGGTACTTGGACCGCATCAGCTCGTTCTTGTGCAGCTTTTTCTCCAACGACGACACCATCTGCTTGACCACGCGCTCGTTCAACGTGAATTCGGCACTGACTTCGTCGTCGGCGGCCGAGATCTTGTCATCAACTGCCGCCGCCGGCCTCACCACATGCTTTACACGTTTTGACGGTCGTGGTCCATGCGCGGCGTCGCTTGCAGGTCTCCCATCCCGTGTAGCCTGCTTCTCTGCTTCAAATACCTTCTCGAAGTGCGCTTCCATGAATGATGCTTGTTCACTCGTCCACCACAAAGTTTGGTTTTGGTTTACCCCAAAGGGTTAGAAAGCGCGAGAAATCCCCGATTTCAATCAAATTTATGATATTGAATCCACCAATCAAAAGGCAAGACGAGTATAAGTGTGAAAATTTCCCGGTTTCGAATTATAGCCAATTAAACACTACTTCAATCTCTACCGCCAATCACAATGCTTGTCTTTGTTAAAAGTGTATCCGGCCCATGAAACAGTGCATCAACCGGACACCATTAGCACTACAGACTCTTAAATCACACTAAATAAGCATTATTACATACATTATTCAAGACAAATAGTTCCTCCAAATTTAAGTATACATACAGTAGTGATATGTAATATATATATTCTAATTTGGCATCTGCCATGTAATCCCTAATCCCACATCTAATTCGTACTTTAGTGAGCAATGTGACCATTTGGAGAAATTTCTCCGCGTGTGTCACCAACTCTACAAGCGAACAAGTGCAGCGGGACCACTTTCCAAGTCGTCCTCCATCATCATCATGGGATGCTGCTTGACACGATGCATACCTGACGGCAAGATGGCGACGCAGTTCGAAGCCGAGCTCAACGAAGACGTGTTTGTGAACGCGGACCAACTCCGGACCAAGAGCACGTTCTCGGGCCACGCGTCGCTGCTCCATGTACTGAAAAGAAGCATTCGACCTACATCTCCATGGCAAGCTAGCTAACGTCGTGCTGCCGTATTCGTGTAGGCGGACGAAGTACACTGTGTGCAAGAGATTGGTAAAGGCGACTCGGGCATCGTGTACAAAGGAACGTACCGGGGCAGCACCGTGGTCGAGAAACGCATGAAGATGTCGACGCATAAACCAACCGAAGCGATGGAGAAGTCGCTGGAAGTCGTGGCTTCCCGCATGAGCAGTCTGCGGCACCCCAACACTGTCCTATTCATGGGCGTGTGTCTGCGAGACCAGGCGTTTTGCATTATCAGGTTGGTTAGATCACTTCCACTACAATAACGGTACGAACGTGACGTAATTATATATATGTATACTTTACGGTAGTGAATACTGCTCCCGGGGCTCTCTGTACGATATCCTGCACACGACAAAAGAATCCCATCTCCACACAATGCACACCAGCGGCGACCGCATCAACGAAGACAAGGAATCGTCGGAAGGGGGGTTTCACTGGCACCTCCGCTGCCGCCTCGCGCTTGGCGCGGCGCGCGGACTGCTGTACCTCCACAGCGCAAGTCCGCCTCTAGTGCATGGCCAACTCACAAGGTATACAAATGTTGTAGACTGTGGAAATCGGTACAAGTTTCTAGAGGTTTTATATATCGTTCTATTTTTATAACCTTTGTATTATGCATGATGTATATATACTTTTATTGGTTTGACGTTTATTAGACGTGTTGGTCATGTTATATTTGATTTTGTAGCGCCAACATTTTGGTCGACGACTCGTGGAACGCCAAACTTGCGGTACGATTCCTCTAGCGTCTATACGATCTGCAACAAGTGTGTTGTGTTCTAATAATATATAAGACTTGATAATTTTTATGATTATTCTATTGAAGGCTTGATAAGTCTCTGAATATTCAGCAATGTATCTATTCTTGTGATATATGTATTGCTGAAGAAATATATATATTCAGAAAAGTGTGAATATGACGACATATCATGGTTCCTTGTCTAGTGACCTCTAAAAAAAATTAAAAAACTTTAATCATTTGAATATCTATATTTGTATCGATGTTTTAGTTGTACATTCTTCAAAAGTATAGTATTGTCGAGGGTGATATATATATATTTATCATATTTTCAAAGGATTTCGGCACCCGACAAGTGTCGCAAGCCGTGCAATCGAAACCGCGGCACCCGGCCAAAACAAACGGGAGATTGCCCTATTGGACAGCTCCGGAAATCCTCAAAGCCGTCAGCGACAACGTCGACATGACCGCCGAGAACCCGCAAGGCGCCGACATTTATAGCCTCGGGTACGGCAAACCTACCTACTTTATATGAGTGGCGGGTTATGTTACTACATACTCTGTTATAGGTTAATCCTGTGGGAGCTCTTGTCGGGGGAAGTGCCGTTTGCAGAGTGTGTCGATTACATTGACCTGCGCAAGTGCGTGTTGGCTGGCCAGCGCCCCGCGATCCAGGGCGGGTCGGCGTGCCCCGTCGCGTGGACTGAGCTGATCACCAAGTGCTGGTCCCAAAATGCCACCAGACGGCCGTCCGCCGCGCAAATCGTCGCCACGCTCGAAGAAATGCTGCGGTCGGAACCGATGATGCGAAAAAAGTCGTGGCGAAGAAAGGGAAAACAACATAGGTCTCGACGGCATAAAAAGTAATACTATAATAGTACTGTATGCATACATACCCACCCACCAAATTCCGTCGGTGTTGTTGATATGACGTTGTCACATTGTTACACTAACTTGAAAACTGTCCTTTGTGCTTGGACTCGCATTGAATTTACTTGCCTCTGATTGACTCATTCGGTTTTCTACTGGTATGCGATAGATTGGAACGCAATCGAAAAGCTCGAGAACGACGAGCTCGAATGAAGGCTGAACTCGACGCAATTCGCATTAATTATTCACCTCAAAAATCCGCTACATTAAATATTAATATTTTGAATACAAGTTCTCCAAGTTCATATACAGACCAATCAACAATAATGTCCACTGAAATTCCAATCATCAATTTTGGTCGTGTCGTCACAAATCGAAGTCGCTCGACGAAATCGCGGCTGAAGATCCTCAATATATTACCTATCTTCTAACGACAACTGAGTATCTCAAAAAGGATCAATTAGCCTACATCTACGAGAACTTAATTAGCAACATCCAAATTGGATTCAGTAAGTATCCCGACCATTTAACGTTTGCTGCTTTGAAGAAGTCCAATCCTTCCTACCTTGATGGGCTAGCTAAAACACTCAGCATGTTTGGTTGTCAACGTATCTGAACTAACCAACCAATGATATAAAGAATATAAAAAACATGACTCCGAAGTTAAATAAATCAAAATGAATGCCACCAACTGGACCAAACTTAATGACGAAAGTTTAGTTTACTGTTAATTGTTGTACAAAGGCCAGTTGAAATTGGACCACATAAGCAGTTGAAATCAATGCTTTTGATTAGTGCT